TCCTTACTGTGGGGAGTCCTATCAACCCTTTCCTCCCAATCCTCAAGCCCTCACTCCCTTCTCCGCCCCTGTTCAGCAGGAAGCAGCCAGAGAGAAAGCAACGTCCACAACCCCATAGAGGAGAAAGGGGGGAATGAAGGGCCCCCACCAGTAAGATGGCAAACTTCCGGCTTCTCTTCGGGGTCCTCAGTTCCCGCCGGCGCCACCTGAAGCCCAATCACCTCTTGCCCCCCTCCCAATCCCAGCACCTAGCCAACAGCCAACAGCCCCGTAGAAGTAACACCACAATCACCCTTCCTATATAACCCAGCACCTTTCCCTAATAAAGCGGAACTCTCCGGTGAATTGCTGCTATGTGTGGCTCCTTTCCTTTCAGAGACAGAAAGCAGATTAGAAGTTTTCAAGGACTGAAGAGAGTGGGAGTTGTTGCTTAATGGTTACAAAGTTTCTGGTTTGGATGATAAAAAGTTTTAGAAATAGGTAGGCTAATGGTTGTTCAACACTGTGATTGTAATTAATGTCATCGAATTGTACACTTAAAAATGGTTAAAACTGCAAATTTTGTATTATATTTGTGTGTATTTTTTTCACTACAGCTTCAATTAGTAATGTAATATACCAAAAAACCATTGAATTGTACACTTCAAAATCAGTGACCTGTATGGTGTGTGAATTATATGTCAATAACCTTTTTTAAAAAAAACTGTATTAAGTTAGTCACTTGACTAACTTGCTGGACTAATCGATGCAGTAAATAAAATATAAAGCCTTGACTTTGGTAAAAAAACTATGATTCCTAAATTTCTAAGTCACAGAATTACAGAACTTCACTCTTATTCTCAAATTATTGTGAATGCAAGACACTACATTTCATATTTACAGTATTAACCAGAAGTCATGAAACATGTATAGATTAGAATTAAATGCCTTTATTACTAATCTAAAACCATCTTAATAAATTGAAAAATATTGAAATATTGCTACTAGAATATTAGATAATGCAGTACTGTTCAAATGTGTAATTACCAATATATATTTACCTATATGTCAAACATAAATAACACCAAAACAATTAAATACATTGCAATGACTTATAAAACAAAACCTAGAACTTACTGCCATCTTTGTAAACTAATAAAATGCAGGCCATTATCTTCAAAAGTTCAGCAACAACCACTGCTGTAGAAGATAGGTAACGAGGGCCCTCCTCTTTTAAAGTCCTAGAATAACGCATTGTAAGAACCAAACTGGTAGTCTGAAAGACCAAAATTCCCAAGGAAAGGTATTTTAGGTTGGCAGACATTCTTTTATCTTCATTTGCCTGAAAAACAAAACAAAAAGGGCAAATACACAAAATTAGAAAATACAGAAACTAATATATTAAAAAGCAGTTAGAGCCTTCTAGGTCCAGACAAGATGGAGAAGTGTATTCCACCTTAGTCTTCTTGCTAATTCCAACTATAAATTTTGGAGCAAAGAAAAACAGCAACTACCAGAAGATTCTGAAAGGTGAAAAAAAATGAGACAAACTAGTTAGAGATGTCGTATCTCGAGTAATCACCCAACAGTGAATTCCATGAGAATTTTTTGCCACCTCTGAATCTCACCCTGTTGCTACAGCAGTTCGCAACCTAGAACCAACAGATGTAAATCAACAAACACAAAAATACCCCCAAAAAATCCAGTGTCTCCAACCAAAAGAATGAGAAGACAGCAGCCTGGCAGCATGGAACCTTCCCACCCAGATGCTGTGTAATGGGTAGGACAGAGCTTTGCCTAACATCCTTACCCCGCACTAACGAGAGCCAAGGTGCTGGCCCTCCCCATTCCCACCAGGGTCTTGCCCTATACAAGGTAAGTGTCAGCAAAGAAGCAGTGCCCTTCGTCCTTCCACAATGGCCATCTAGTATTATAGGAAATTTAATTAGTAACTAACCTCTTACAATACTCAAAATGTCCAGGATACAACCCATAATGAACGTACTCATTATACCAAAAAACAGGAAAAAAATCTCAACTAAGATGAGTAGGGACAACCAACAAACAACAGAGCAGACACAGATGTTGGAATTGTCAGACAAGAATTTTAAAGAAATCACCATAACAGGGTACCAACAACAAGCAATTATAAACACTTCTGAAATAATCTGACTCATATATATTTATATAGAGAGAGAAGTTGAAAAAAGTACAGGAGTTTTATGTATCCTTTATCCACTTCCCACAATGATTAAAGTTGCCAAGTGCTTATACTTTCTCTAGAGCAATTCATTATTAACTCTAAGAAACTTGCTTTAAATCTGAAGATACAAAAAGGTTAAAAAGTAGAAGGATAAAAAAAAATATGCCATAAGAAAATAAGTGAGAAAATAGGAGGGACTATATTAATATCAGGAAAAATAGATTACATAATAATTATTTCTAGAATTAAAGAAGGACAATACATAATGGTAAGAGCTAATACATCAAGAAGATACAACCATTATAAATATATATGTGTCTAATAAAAGAGGTTCAAAATGCATAAAGCAAAAACTGACAGAACTGAAAGGAAAAACAGGTAAACCCAGTCATAATGTGAGATCTTAACTCACTTTTCTCTGTAATTAATAGAACGTGCACGTACACATACACAAACAGTAAGAATATAGCAGATCTGAACACTATTAATTACTATAACTGTGGTAGACAAAGAGATGTTCCACTAAGACCCTCCCTCCTTCAAGGAAGGACTTAATGCAGTGTGTGTGGTCTGTTTACTGCCTTTCTACCTAAGGTCACACCCTTTGCCTAAAATCTAAAGATTGAGTGTAATCCCAAACAAAATTCATTCAGGCTCTTTCAGTAAAAATTGACAAGCTGATTTTAAAATTTATATGGAAATACAAATGCCCTATGCAACTAAAACAATTTTGAGAAGGAAGAACAAAGTTAAAGGACTTAAACTACTGAAATTCCATATGAACTATAAAGCTCTAGTAATAAAGACTCATACTGACATAGGACAGAAGTATAGATCAATGGAACAAATACAGTCCAGAAACAGATATAGACATATTTGGTCAAATGATTTTGACAACAATACCAAAAAGAAAGAACAGTCTTTTCAGTGAAAAATTCTGGAACAACAAGATATCTGATATATATTTTTTTTTAACGAACTTCTACCCTTACATACCTCACACCAAATATTTAACTAGAAACATTACAGACCTGCTATAAAAGCTAAAACTATAAATATTCAAGAAAACATGGGAGAAAATCGTAGTCACGCAGAGATAGGCAAAGATTTCTTAGGATACAAAAAATACAAACAATAAAAGAAAAATATATATAAATTAGATATCATCAAAATTAAAACTGATTTTCCAAATATACTGTAAAACAATAAAAGGAACCACATCAGAGGAGAAAATATTCTCAATACATATATCTGTCAATATGCATCCAAAATACATATAGAACTCTTACAACACAATATACAGAAGACAATCTAATTTTAAATGGGGCAAAATACTTGAGCAGACATCTCACCAGAAAAGATAAATGAATGACTAACAGGCACGAGAAAATATGTTCAACATCAGTCAGGTAAATATAAATTATAAGCACAATAAGATACCATTATACACTATTAGAATGGTTAAAATCTTAAAAATTGATGCATGAAGTATTGGAGAAGATTTAGAGCAAATGAAACTCTCAGCATTGCTAGTGAAAATGTAAAGTGGTACAATCACTTGGTAAAACAGTTTGGTAGTTTATTAAAAAAACCAAACACATAATCTTCTCCTGTGACTTAGCAATTCCACTCTTAGGTATAGCCAAGAGATCTGAAAATAGGTATCCACAATAATTGTATGTGGTTATTCATAAAAGCTTTATTTGTAACAGCCAAAAACTGGGAATGACCCAAATGGGCATTAAATAGTTGAATTACTAAACATACTGTTTGATGTGCATATGACAGAATAGTACTCAGCAATAAAAAGAAATGTAATACTGATATACAATAAAACGTCAATGAATCTCAAAAATATACTGAGTGAAAGTGTTTAAACAAAACAATACTATTTGATCCATTTATATGAAATCATAAAAAGGGCAAAACTAATCTGCAGTAACAGATGCAAATTTGTGCTTAACTGTAGCCAGGATTGGGGTTGGGTTTGACTGCAAAAGGGTAGCAATGAATTTTTGGTGGTGAATTCTCTAGTGTGATTGTATAATGGTTATATGATTGTACACATAACCATATATATATTATATATAAGACAAGATTGTATATAAGACCATCATGTATATGCTCATTTGTCATAACTCAATGAACTGTATATTTTAAATGGGTACATTTTTATTGTATGTGAATTATAACTCAATAAAGTTGATTTTAAAAAATTAAAGAATGAAGACATCCTAAGTAGCAGCATTCCTCACTAGGCTTTCCTCATAGCTTTGGTCCTGGCTCTGATTTCTTTGGATAAATACCAATAGCATTCTGTTAGACTATTCTTAAAGGATAGTCTACCCCAATTCTGTCCTTTACATGATTCTATCCCGTTCTAAATTTCATTCATATGAATGCTGTTTACAGTTTATCTCTTCAAAGCTCTCATAACCGAGCTACCATTATGGTTCTAGATATATGATCCTTTTCTTTCCTTAGCTCATAATTATTAAAATAGCATATAATACATTCAAACATATTCAACAATCACAATTTAGTGTCTATACTATGTTAAGTGCAATGGTTACAGGGAGAGCCAATCCTTGAAGGCATAAAGTTCAGCTTACTAAAATTAGCAATTCCTTTCTCCAACTGAATATGCCCCAAACACAAACAATGCAACACCATGAATAGGAGGAGAAAATTTAATAAAATGATTGAAAAAATTAGGCATTTCACTTGAATTTCAGAGAGAAATTTTGAATAATGTATCTCCTTTTGTCACATATAAATTAGAGGATCAAGCTTAGAGGAAAGAATACATAGACTTCATTAACCAATTATCTCACTTTTGTGAATCTGCATTAGCAGCAGAGTCCTAATGTGAATTAAAGTTACAGCATTTTAGAGGTGGAAAATGATTTAGAAATCATCTAGTAAAAATCTCTTCATTTTAAAATGGAGAAAATAGTGAACAGACAAGTAAGATGATTTGTTAAGATCATATAACCACTAATTGGAAATCCTAGGTTATACAGTTAAATGACAGTATGATTGAGGCTCTTTAGCTCTCACTACATGCTACTGAGAATACCAAAGGACTTTCTGTGGCCTTTATCTCTGTACGGAAGGAGAACAAGTTGCCAGCAATTTACATTTGGCATAGGTGTATAATTCTGGAAAACCTGTCCAAGGAAGTCTTGTTTTTTCTGTGCAACTAAGACTACAATGTGCCTATTATAACAGCAATACTCTACTTTCTTTTCAAATGAAAATTTAAAGATCAGCTTCTAAACTAGGAAAAACTATTTTTACTATTTTGCTTTTCCATTTCCAAGCACATACATCAACATAAGCATTCACCTTGATAATACAGTTAATTATTAATACAGTTCTTAATTATTTTTTTTAAGTCTGTGAGATAAGAAAAAAATATATATTGGTCTTCACCCCTGGTTTCTGACACAGAGTTCCTGAAAACCTTGTAATTTTCTCAGTGATAAGAGCCCTAAGAGTTCTAATATTTAATCTCTGATCCTGGTTCCTGACACAGGACTCCTAAACCCTTGTTATTTCCTGGATGAGAGCAGTTTCTTTTGTTCTAATGAGACAACTCTGGGTGGGCTCCTGGATGATTCCTGGATGAGAGATGAACATTGGAAAACACAAGACATGATTAGAATCTTGGAATTTTCAACCCCACCCCCCATTCTCTTAAGATGGGACAAGGGCTGAAAATGGACCTAATGATCCATTATGCACACATGATGAAGCCTCCTTAAAAATCCCAATAGTATAAGGTTCAGAGAGCTTCCACCTTGTCAAACACATCTACACTGGGAAGATGATGAACCCCAACTCCATGGGAACAGGAGCTCCTGTGCTCAAGACTCTCCCAGACTTCACCCTACATACACCTTCATCAGGCTATTCATCTGTATTAGTTACCATATTCTTTAATAAACTGGTGCAAGTGTTTCCCTCAGTTCTATGACATGCTTTAGCAAATTAATTGAACTTGAGGAGTGGGTGGTGGGAACCTCCAATCTATAGTCAGAACAGACAGATGTGTGGGTAATCTGGGAACCTACTACTTAAGAGTGGAGTCTGAAGTAGGGTGGGAGCAGTCTTGTGGAACTGAGCCCTTAACCTAG